GCCTGACTTACCAGTTCCTTGTGGGGCAAGTTGTTCTTTCCAAGCCTGCATAATCGTGGGGTTGGGTTACATGGCAAGTCATGCGCAGCACGGCTCCACTTACTTCGTTACGAAAGCATCATTTATGGCCACAACATAGATGTTTTGAACGCCCTTTGCTTTGAATTTATCGTAAAGCTCGATATATTTTGGAACTTGAGAGCTGCAAGGGGGAGTAAATGCCCCAGGCACACCCACCTACAGAATGCTACATGAGCTGGCCTGAATGTCGTTTTACAGCAATCCATACAATGATGTTTTTCCCCTTGAGATCAAGTGCAAAGGAACGTTCGGGATCCTCTTCTTTGACTATCTTTGCTGGTATGGGGTCCCCTACTTCGATTTGAACAGTGCTGAGCAGCGAGGCAGCAGCTGAATGAGCAGCTTGAGCAGCTCCGGTTATAATTGAGGTCATGTCAAGATTATATGATAATTAAAACTAGAGATGGTGAAAGAGAGAGGGAGAGAGCTGCGTTTTCAATAGTACAACGAATTTGCGTAGGTGGGACATGACGTCACGTAGTTTGCAGCTGCGATGTTAGGGTTAGGGTCATATCATATACTACGAAACATATATACAACATTTTCCCAGCCTCCAGATTGTCTGCTCAGTCTGCGGTAATTATAATTCAGTAGTCTGACTACACCACGACATATGAATTGTAGAAGTTTTCCAGCCGATAGGCGGTTTCATGGTGTCGGTTTCACCGCTCACTTCAAGTTAGTTCTGCTAAATCTATTTCTGAAACTAACTGGATTCAGGATTTATGAAGCAGAATGGAAGAAATGCGAAGATAAATCCGTACCCTATTTTGCCCAACTTTTCAATCGCTGGTCGGAAAATTAATGCAGTATGTACTTTTTTCTTCCTCGCGGTTCTTACGCAGACTCTAGGTTCAGGTATGTCGACCGAGAACTTGAAAGTCCTCAGAGGTGCCCTCATACATCCTGAGTTTACGGACAAGTGGAGTATGTTCATCCTTTAACACCTCCTTCTGTCCTTTCGTACGTGGCCCTAAAATATTGTTGTTTCAGGAATGACTAGTGTCAGAAGCTAACGACTGTGCTTTACCCCACTTGTTTCAGGCTCTCTCTTCTGATTCGTGTTCCGGTCTCGAAAGCTCCACAAATGAGCTTTGAATGTAGTTTATAAAGCCCCTTTTGCAGCGGTGAACTGTCCTCATCGACACCACTCGTCGCACTAGTCCACCGCATCCTTCTTGCACACTATGTTCACTAAAGCTAGTATTTCATTCATTGTCGCGGCTACGCTGGTATCCGGCATGCCTGCTGTTATACCTACCCCCCCTATCGTTTCTGGCGGTCCTGGACCTGCTAGTATTCCAGGAAGCGCATCCATCATCCCTACCAGCTCGCTCGCACTTCCTAGCAGCATCTCTGTCAACAGCACCACCGTTTTCTCTACCTTAAGTATTACAAACAGCCTCCCTATTCCTTCCAACAGCAGCATCCCAATTTCCACCAGCACCATTCCCGCCCCTCCCATCAGCAGTATTCCTGTCTCTCTGAACAGCAGCCAGCCTGTTGTTCCTACT